AGTTAATTGAACAGTTCACTTTGGCCACAGAAAACAGCCCTGAATTTTATTACTTGGAAGTTAAGACAGACTTTCTCTTTTCCTTCTGCTTCCTCAGTGATGTGGCTCTCTGTGAGACAAACCTCCCAGAGAGAAAGAGAAAGAGAGAGAGAGAGAGAGATGTTAGTGGGCCATAGTCCATGGCAGCAGGTGCCTGGATAGATTATCAGGGGCTGCCCAGGTGTGGTGGGTGAGTGGTCCTCTGACATGGGTGAGAGATCCTTTATACCCCGGATGCCTTCACATGGCATAACCTGTCTCTTTCAAGGGGAAGCAATTTGGGTCAACAAGCATTTATCTAACTATAGACTGGCTTACCCCACACCCATTCTGATCCTCCTTTCCCTTACCAGTCTCTACTCCAGAGGCTGGAGAAATGAATATCTTCTTTTTTCGTTTTCTGTGGTTGTAGGGAACATTTGACAGTGTCCTGGCAGTGAGAAATAGGCAGAAACCTGCTTGGGTTTTGGAGAAGCTTGCTTTTTAATAAACGGCACAGATGTATCTGGCACCATCCCTTCCTCCTATATCCTGCCTTGAATAGGGGTGTGATACCTTGAGCCATGGCATCCACATTGTGACTCTGAGAAAAAGGCCAAGAAAAATACAGGACATCATTCCCAATATTATTGTGTCCTAAACCAATGCCGGCTACTGACAATATCCAGACTTCTTGCTATTAAAAAAAAAAAAACAAAAAAAAACTCAACTGATTTCATCTCCTACTCGTTGGCTTTTCTGCTTCCCATCATTGAACAACATTCCTACGTGACAAACTTGCTATGGACATTTTCATAGGGAAGGAAACTTCAAGGAGCCCCTTAGCCTTTACAGTTGAACTGGGAGATGAGTCACCAAGATCCTCTATCTAGGAAAGAAAGTAACGGGAAAGGAGCTCCCTCCCTCCTGCCCCTGGAGGACCTGGACCTCCTAGCTCTGCTTGGGCGCCCCTGTTAACCTTTCCCCAGATGAAGGGCCCTGCATTGTTCATTTTGTGCCGGATAAATCCAGGCCCTGGGCTGAGCGCCAAAGAAGTGAAAAAGACAGCTTCACCCTGATAGTCCCTCTGCCTCTCTGTCCCCTGAGCATCCCAGACTGTGCTCTGGAGGCACATGTGCCTTGAGCCACACTGGGGCTCACTCCCAGGACGACGGTTCGGCTGCTGCAGAGGCATAGGTGTGTCTGCTGTTGCCCCATTCCTCCTCCTGGGATCCTAGGAGCACATAATCCCATCTCAAGAGTCTTCCCAGACAAACTCTGGGGATCCAGGCAGCCTAGAAAATAAAAAACAGGCCCCAGAGAATCAGCAGAATGAAACTAAAGTCTTCACTATGCTATCACTTTACTGCCTTTGTTAGGAGATGAAGTAGTTAATCTGGGATAATTGTTCTCTCTCTCCTTCAAGGGCTCCTCTGCCATCCTCCATCTCTGCTCAGTCTCATCCTTCATTCATTTTTATGGTTTCCATTTCTGCTAAAACCCTGATAGTCCCCGAGTATCCTCCGCCAGCCAGACTTTCCTCCTGAGTTCCAGCCTCGGATACTCAGCTATTGCACAACTGCACCTGGGCTCCATAAACTTATCATGTCTAAAACATAAGTGTTTTCTGTCCCCAAATCTGCTTCTTCCCCTGCATACCTTAATGGCACCAATATCCTCATAATAATTTCCTGTTGCTGCTCTAACAAATTACCGCAAACCTAGTGATTTATAAGATCATAGATTTATCTTACAATTCTGTAGGTCAGAAATCTAAAATGTGTCTGACTGGGTGAAAATCAACGTAGAGGCTGTGCTATTATTCCCCTGGAGGCTCCAGGGGAAAATCCATTTCCTTGCCTTTCCAGCTTCCAGGCACTGCCAGCATTTCTTGGCTGGTGGCCTCCTTCCATCTGCAAAGACAGCAATCGCATCACTCCAGCCTCTGCACCCATCAACACATCTCTTTCTCTGATGCTCTTAGCCTTCCACAAGAAGCTGGGCCGGGCACAGTGGCTCACGTCTGCAATCCCGGCACTTTGGGAGGCTCAGGCAGGTGGATCACCTCAGGTCAGGAGCTCAAAACCAGCCTGACCAAAACAGCAAAACCCCGTTTCTACTAAAAATACAAAAATTAGCTGGGTGTGGTGGCAGGCACCTGTAATCCCAGCTACTTGGGAGGCTGAGGCAGGAGAATTGCTTGAACCTGAGAGGTGGAGGTTGCAGTGAGCTGAGATTGCGCCACTGCACTCTGGCCTGGGTGACAGAGCCAGCCTCTGTCTAAAAAAAAAAAAAAAGTCTTGTAATGACATTGCACACACCTGCTAATGCAAGATTTATTAATTTAGTCACATCTGCAATGCCCTTTTCCTTTTTTGTTTCCTTCCTTCTTTCCTTCCTTTCTCTCTCTCTCCCTCCCTCCCTCCTTCCCTCTCTCTCTCTTTCTTTCTTTCTTTCTTTCTTTCTTTCTTTCTTTCTTTCTTTCTTTTTTCTTTCTTTCTTTCTTCTCTCTCTCTTTCTCTTTCTTTTTTTTTGAGACAGGGTCGCTTTGTCACCCAGGCTGCAGTGCAGTGGCACAATCTCAGCTCACCACAACCTCAACCTTCCAGGTTCAAGCGATTCTTGTGCCTCAACATCCTGAGTAACTAGGACTACAGGTGTGCGCCACCATGCCCAGCTAATTTTTGCACTTTTAGTTGAGATAGGGTCTCACTATGTTGCCACCATGCATATGTTACTAAGTTTTGGGGTAATTTGTTACGCAGCAGTAACTCTTTCAAGGGACTAGAGAGGTGGGAGTTTGGCAGAGGGGTGGTCTTTTAAAGCAGTTCCCCTATAAAAATGTCCTTAAACAGGACAGGCATGGTGGCTTACACCTGTAATCCCAGCACTTTGGGAGGCCGAGGTAGGTGGATCACTTGAGGTCAAGTGTTCAAGACCAGCCTGGCCAGCATGGTGAAACCCCGTCTCTACTAAAAATACAAAAATTAGCTGCATGATGGTGTGCACCTGTAATTCCAGCTACTCGGGAGGCTGAGGCAGGAGAATTGCTTGAACCCAGGAGGTGGAGGTTGCAGTAAGCTGAGATAGCACCACTGTACTCAAGCCTGGGTGACAGAGTGAGACTCGGTCTCCATTTAAAAAAAAAAATTCTTAAACATCTGTGTCACTTGGCACCTTTTTGATAGCTGTGTCCTCTGCCTGGGATGCCCGATTTTCACATGGCTGACTCTTTCTTATCACTCAACTCTCCCTAGAAAGATTCTTCCAGCTGCAGGCCAGGCGCGGTGGCTCACGCCTATAATGCCAGCATTTTGGTAGGTCTAGGAGGGTGAATCACATGGTCAGGAGATCGAGACAATCCTGACTAACACAGTAAAACCCCATCTCTACTAAAAAATGCAAAAAATTAGCTGGGTGTGGTGACAGGTGCCTGTAGTCCCAGCTACAGGGACTGAGCAGGAGGCTGAGGCAGGAGAATGGCGTGAATCCGGGAGGCAGAGCTTGCAGTGATCTGAGATCATGCCACTGCACTCCAGCCTAGGTGACAGAGTGAGACTCCATCTCAAAAAAGAAAGAAAGAAAGAAAGATTCTTCCAGCTGCCGTGCCCCCACCTCCGCAGTCATCTTCTGCACGGCATTTATGACTCTGTTAGGTTGGTTTTTACCGTCTTCCCCACTGGAACGGAGGCTCTATGAGAGCAGGGAGCACCTCTTGCTCAGCATGGTGCCCTCAGCACACAGAGCAGTGCTTGGCATAAATAGATGAGCCCAGTGGCTCTCATTTTCTGCCTTTGCTTCCCAGCCACCCATGCTTCCTGTCATACTCTGCAGGACTTGAAGCTTGAAGTTGCTTTTCGGTCATTCTGTCTCACACATTGTTCCTTCTCCTAGAATGCCTTTTCTGCTTCTCTTCTTCAGTTGTTGAGATGATTGAGACCTACATATCTTTTTTTTTTTTTTTTGGAGACAGGGTCTTGCTCTGTTGCCCAGGCTGGAGTGCAGTGGTACGACCACAGTTCACTACAGCCTTGACCTGCCAGTCTCAAGCAATCCTCCCACATCAGCCTCCCTAGTAGCTGGGACCACATGTTTGCACCACCATGCCTGGCTAATTTTTGTATTTTTTGTAGGTACAGGGTTTCATCATGTTGCCAAGGCTGGTCTCAAACTCCTGGGCTCAAGCGATCTGCCCACCTCAGCCTACCAAAAACTGTTGGGATACAGGTGTGAGCCACTGCACCCAACAAGACCTACACATCTTTTAAGAAAGGTCAGCTGGCCGGGCGCGGTGGCTCAAGCCTGTAATCCCAGCACTTCGGGAGGCTGAGATGGGCGGATCACGAGGTCAGGAGATCAAGACCATCCTGGCTAACACGGTGAAACCCCGTCTCTACTAAAAAAATACAAAATATTAGCCGGGCGTGGTGGCGGGCGCCTGTAGTCCCAGCTACTCGGGAGGCTGAGGCAGGAGAATGGCCTGAACCCGGGAGTCAGAGCTTGCAGTGAGCTGAGATCTGGCCACTGCACTCCAGCCTGGGCGACAGAGCGAGACTCCGTCTCAAAAAAAAAAAAAAAAAAAAAAAAAAAAAAGAAAGGTCAGCTGGCCGGGCATGGTGGCTCACGCCTGTAATCCCAGCACTTTGGAAGGCCGAGGCCAGCGGATCACGAGGTCAGGAGCTTGAGACCAGCCTGACCAACACGGTGAAACCCCATCTCTACTAAAAATACAGAAATTAGCCAGGCGTGGTGATGCATGCCTGTAATCCCAGCTACTCGGGAGGTTGAGGCAGGAGAATCGCTTGAATCTGGGAGGCAGAGATTGCAGTGAGCTGAGATCGTGCCCTTGTACTCCAGCCTGGGTGACAGAGGTGACCGAGCAAGACTCCGTCTAAAAAAAAAAAAGAAAGAAAGAAAGAAAAGAAAGAAAGAAAAAAAGGTCAGCCACCTGTCAGCTGTCCCTCCTGAGTGCGGGCGTCGCATGCTGGGTTTCCCTACCATCACACTGTTCACTGGGGCTGGCAATGGCTGTTGAAGTGTCTCTGCCCTGCCAGGTGTTAAAGGGCTGCGTCTCCTTCACCGTTGCATCCCTAGGGTCCACGGTTGTCTCATTGAGTGTTTGCTGAATAGAGAGGTGAGTGATGATGGGGAGGGCCCTGTGAGAGGCCCCTGAGGTTGGTCTGTCCCCACGCGATGTCTTCCTTCTCGGGGCCTTGCCCCTGCTGGCTGAGGAAGGGATGGGATTTATTCTGCATTCCCTATATGTGAGTGTCTCAACCTAAGTAAAACTCACTTCTGCTATGCAGTGATCCTTGAGGTGAACTTGGGGCACTGGTACAGCCTTGGGGTGGGGGTGGGGGCAAAGGAATGACCTCAGCTGCCAATCACTGGAAGCCCAGAACAGCTTTCTCTCATCTCAAGGGGGGATGCCACTGCATCACCTTGCCCTCACGCTGCGTCAGATGGTTCCCTGGACATCTGCGCCCCATGGACTCACAAACCCGCGCCACTGGAGTCAGGGGAGGCAACGTCGTCTGCCCTGCTCTCCTCCCACAGCATGCAGGAGGCCAGTGGTGGCAGGTGGCTTTGGTGATAGGAGGGAGTGTGTGAATTTGGAGCAGAAACCTGGTGGGAGAGAAGAAAGAGAGAAGAGAGAAAGATGAGAAGGCAGTGGCCATCGCTGGCTTGCAGGCAGTGACTCCCACTCCAAAACGCCTAACATAGCCCCCTGGATGGAGAATATCTCCCCTCCCAAACACAAAAACCCCCTTTCCAGAACGAAAGGCCTGTCACTGAAAGCACTTATTTAACAACAATAACAGCAGAACACACAAGGTACAAAAACATTTTTCTCAAAAATTTTCCCAATTCAATTCAACAAATATTTATTTTCCAGAAAAAGCAGAGATATATAAAGAAATAGAAATGTGGGTTTTTTGTTTTTTTTTTCTTCTTGTTTTTGATTGAAAAGCCTATCGGCACAACCAGGAGAACAGCACTGCCCCAGTGAGCCAAGCACAATGGGAAAGCATTTTTAAAATAGAAAAGAACACTAATATATAAATATACTCAGGTAATTTTAAAACATAGTGCAGCCTCAACGCTAGGGTGGGGGATGGGCCTCAGGCTCACAGGCAACCTGTGTTCTGTCTTCCCTGTGGGCTGCCTGGGGATACAGTTTAATCCAGGGTGAGCCTCCATCATTGTCTTAAAAACCCATGTGATATGGGAGAAAATGTAAAACTATCACTAATAAAGATATACCTAACTAGCGAAAACCAATGGGGGAAAATAATTTAGAAAGCAAATGGGCTGGGCACAGTGGCTCATGCCTGTAGTTCCAGCACTTTGGGAGGCTGAGGCTGGTGGATCACCTGAGGTCAGGAGTTTGAGACCAGCTTGGCCAACATGGTGAAACTCCATTTCTACTAAAAATAAAAACAATTAGCTGGGCATGGTGGTGGACGCCTGTAATTCCAGCTACTTGGAAGGCTGAGGCAGGAGAATCTCTTCAACCCGGGAGACAGAGGTTGCAGTGAGCTGAGATTGCACCATTGCACGCCAGCCTGGGCAACAAGAGTGAAACACCATCTCAAAAAAGAAAAAAGAAAAGAAGAAAGAAAGAAAGCAAATGGGAGTCAGGAGAGCCAGTTTTGGGTAAGAAAAGAGCACTGAACTAGAAGACAGAAGGCCACTTCCCTGCCCCATGCCTCAGTTTCCTCATCTGTGAAATGGATTCTATCACCTCTACTATTCTTTCAGGCTGTAACAGGCCATGATTCTAAAGCGGTTGCTTAGGAATGTAGAGGCAAAAGTGGTGGAGGAGATGTGGAAATCCCATTAGGGACTTTCTAGCTACCTCTATCTGAAGACAAAGACCAGGGAAGACATCCCAGACAAATGAATTGCGACCACGAAACTCCTTTAAGGAAAACCAGTGGGCCCAGTCAAACTGAGCAGGAGTTTTTAACCTGTGTGCCATGCATGAATCCTTTACAGATTTCGATCATTGTGTCAAATTGATCTTTGTCACTGCTGTGGATACACATATATTTCAGCGATTTCTTTTGTCCAGAAGGTGGACATGGGCAAGTTGTGTGAGATGACACACAGTGGGCACCACTTGCTATTGGGTAGAGGCAAGAGGCATTATTGAACAGGCCGAACTTGGCCAAGGATGGTGTCTGATATGATCGGGATGTGTGTCCCTGCTCAAATCTCATTGAAATGTAATCCCCAGTGCTGGAGGTGGGGCCTGGTGGGTGGCGATTGGGTCATGGGAGTGGTTTCTCATGGTTTAACACCATCCCCTGGTACTGTCATCACCATAGTAAGTTCTCTTGAGATCTGGTTGTTTGAAAGTGTGTGGCACCTACCTGCTGTCTCTCTTCCTCCTGCTGCGGCCACGTGGAGCTCCTTGTGCCCACTTGGGCTTCCGCCATGATTGGAAGCCTCTGAGGCCTCCCCAGAAGCAGAAGCCGTGATGCTTCCTGTATAGCCTGCAGAATCATGAGCCAATTAAACCTCTCTTCTTCATAAATCACCCAGTCTTAAGTTTTTTGTTTGTTTGTTTGTTTGTTTTAATAGCAGTGTGAGAATGAACTAATAGTGTCAGAGACAGGAACAACTCTACCCCACTGGTGACACATCCACGCCAGTGAAAGCCAATGGCCAGGCCGGGCGCGGTGGCTCAAGCCTGTAATCCCAGCACTTTGGGAGGCCGAGACGGGCGGATCACGAGGTCAGGAGATCGAGACCATCCTGGCTAATATGGTGAAACCCCGTCTCTACTAAAAATACAAAAAACTAGCCGGGCGAGGTGGTGGGCGCCTGTAGTCCCAGCTACTCGGGAGGCTGAGGCAGGAGAATGGCGTAAACCCGGGAGGCGGAGCTTGCAGTGAGCTGAGATCCGGCCACTGCACTCCAGCCTGGGCGACAAAGCGAGACTCCGTCTCAAAAAAAAAAAAAAAAAAAAAAAGAAAGCCAATGGCCAATGCTTTCATGGACTTTGTCTGTGGAGACTGTAGGGGTGAGTGTGACGGCTCTGCTGGCTTGTTCAGTGCTGCTCTGAGTTCTTTTAGTCTCTTCAAGGATATTGCCACCACCTGTAATATTTGGAACATTATAAATATTAAATATTTATATTTCTATTACATATTTATAAATAAATATTTAGGGCAGATGTGGTGGCTGTAATCCCAGCACTTTGGCAGGCCAAGGCCAGTGGCTCACAAGGTCACGAGTTTGAGACCAGCCTGACCAATATGGTGAAACCCCATCTCTACTAAAAATACAAAAATTAGCCAGGCGTGGTGGCACTCACCTGTAGTCCCAGCTACTCTGGAGTCTGAGGTAGAGGAATCGCTTGAACCTGGGAGGTGGAGGTTGCAGTGAGCCGAGATCATGGCACTCCAGCCTGGGCAACAAAGCGAGACTCCATCCCAAAAATAATAAATAATAAATAAATAAATATTTAAAAATACAACACCTGTAATAAATGTGCCATGAGCACTGTGGAGAATTCTGGGTACAAGAGATCCCCATGTTCCTTGCCTTACTGGTCAGGGAATAAGGTCTCTCGGGTCTCACTACATTTTATTCCTGTCCCTGAAGCACTTGTCTGTTTCAGCTGCCTTCTCTCCTCTGCTCTGGTTCTCTGCCCTCACCCCATACCCAACCCACACAGATGCACCAAGGGGGAACCTGCCACATCCTCTACCCCCACCCCATGCCCACACACACTCCTGTGCTGAAGGCCATCCCCTGGCTTAATTATTTACAGATCTTCTTTCTCTTTTGGGTCTCCCAAAATCTAAGACTTACACATCAACCAGGTGCAAACAAACAAGCAAACAAACAAAAAACAAGAAATAAAAGTCCAAGACTCTTCAGATAATTAAACCTGGAGGGAGAGGAAGGGCGAGGTCCACCCCTTGGGCTTTTGGAAACGGGCTGAGCGATTAGGTCATAATTGATCTTTATTGTTGCAGCTGAAGATTATTTATCCCACTCCCAGAGGAGCATGTGTCACCCGCCTGCCCCACCCCCAGCTTTCTGAAGCTGAACTGCCTGCACCCAAGTGGAACAGGGGGACTGGGGACGGTGGCTGGGCTGTTTACTCATTCTCCCTCCTTAGGGGCCTCTGGCAGCTGCCCCTCCCTGACACGTCACATGGATTTTTCTCACTCTCCTCTTCACTGCTACGGGGCATCTCAGCCCTCCTGGGGAAGTGGGCCGGGACCAAAGCCCAGGCCAAAGAGAGCGTCCTTACAGCAGACTCCGTTCATGAGTTCCTAAGAACTTTCCCAGGCATACCCTGGAAAGGAAACAGGGGCGGGAGCAATGAGGTTCCCTAAAAATACATTGAGATTTCCCAGTGGAGGGATGAGTGGGAGGGTGGAAGACAGGACTGTGAGTTACATGGGACATTCAGCTCCACTCTGTCCCCAAGGTGCAGAGGGGCCTGCTGGAAAAAACCTCCCTGGAAAAGAAAAGGAAAGAGAAGTTCTACTACCCACAAATAAATCTCAAAGGGCTGCTCTGGGCCATGTAGATTAATTCTATTATGATTTGTGATAATAATTCGTTTTATTTTTGTAGAGTCCTTTAAAAGATTTTTACTGATTTCATTTTGCTTGTCAGCATGACCTCATTTGTCCTGGGCTATGAGGCAGGGCAGAGATGAGCCCGACTTCATAAACAAGAGAAGTAAGAACGAGCACAGCTAAGGGACTTGCCAAGTCCGAGTCAGAACCTGAGTTCCCTGACTCTCCCCTTCAGATCAGTTGTGCAGTTTCACTGTGACAAAATGGGGCTCCTCTGGGGGGTTGTGACTTTCACTTGCTGGGTTGAAATCCCCTGGTAGGACTGCCTGGAGACACACAGCCTCCCCTGGTGAGGGGATTCCAGGTCCCCCACCCCTCTTAGGCAGCAGGTCCTTCCTGGGACTGCCACAACACCTTCCTCTAGAAAGCAGAGCGGTGGCATCCTCAGAATGATGGAATAACCACAGCCAACGTGGCTGCACACCTGCTGTGTCCCAAATCTGTGCCAAGGATTTACACCAATTATCTTACTTGGTCCTCCAGGAACCCTGGGTAGTGGGCACTGCAAACACTCTTATTTTTCAGGTGAGGCAGGAGGAGCAGAGAAGTGAATATTCCCTACGTATTAGTCTATTCTCATGCTGCTAATACCTGAGACTGGGTAATGTATTAAAAAAAAAAAAAAGTTTAATGGACTCACAGTTCCACATGGCTGGGAAGCTTCACAATCATGGTGGAAGGTGAAAGAGGAGAAAGTCACATCTTACAGGGTGGCAGGCAAGAGAGAGCATGTGCAGGGGAACTCCCCTTTAGAAAACCATCAGATCTTGTGAGAGATTTATTCACTATCATGAGAACAGCACAGAAAAAAGCCATCCCCATGATTCAATTACCTCCCATTGGGTCCCTCCCATGACACGTGGGAATTATGGGAACTACAATTTGAGATTTGGGTGGGGACACAGCCAAACCATATTACCTTAGGTTACACAGCTAGCAAGAGGCAAGGGTCAAGATTTGAGACCAGGACTGCCTGAGTTCCAGAGCAAATGCCTTTAACTGTGAAAGACGGGCTATGCCGCATGTAGAAATCTCCTAGGAACAGGGAAGCACACCTGTCAAAAATAATACCATAGACTAGGTGGCTTAAACAGCAGACATTTATTCCTCGCAGCTCTGGAGGTTGGGAAGTTCAAGATGGGAGCAGATTTGGTTTCTGGTGAGGGCCTACTTCCTGGCTTGCAGATAGAAGCTGTGCCTCCTTGCTGCATCCTCACATCATGAAGGAGAGAGGGAGAAAGGGCTCTGGTCTCTGGCTCTTCTTTCTTTCTTTCTTTCTTTCTTTCTTTCTTTCTTTCTTTCTTTCTTTCTTTCTTTCTTTTTTTTTTTTTTTTTGAGACAGAGTCTCACTCTCTCACCCAAGCTGGAGTGCAGTGGCACAATCCCAGCTCACTACAACCTCCACCTCCCAGGTTCAAGTGATTCTTCTGCCTCAGCCTCCTGAGTGGCTAGGATTAGAAGCACCTGCCATCAACCCCAGCTAATTTTTATACTTTTGTAGAGACGGGGTTTCACCCTGTTGGCCAGACTGGTCTCAAACTCCGGACCTCAGGTGATCCACCCACCTCGGTTTCCCAAACTGCTGAGATTACAGGTGTGAGCCACTGCACTCAGCCTCTGGCTCTTCTTATAAGAACACTAATCCAATCCTAGAGGCTCTCCCTCATGACCTCATCTAAACCTAATCACCTCCCAAAGGCCCCATCTCCTAATACCATCACACTGGGGATCGAAGTTTCAACACATGAATTTAGGGGGTGGAGACACAAACTTTCAGTCAATAACAAGACCTCAAGCCCTTATGTGCCACACCATAGGTGTAGGGGCATTGATGAGAGAAACCAAAGAGCAGTAAAGATAAACTGTCAGAGAACATCAATGCTGCCAGGGCCCCTAGAGATTACCTATGGATGATTGCAGAGTACAGATGAGATGTGAGAGAGGGAGCGATTTGCCCTGTATCGCCTGGCACAGCCAGAACTAGAACCCGGGTATCCTGGCTTCTGGGCCCAGAGCTGTCGCCTTGACCTATCCCAGGTCACTGGCAGCTTCCTCCTTCTGCCTCACAATGTCAGCCCCCCACCCCCACTCCCTGGCCTGCCATGCCAGAGGCCTTCAGCAGAATCGATGATGGCCACCTCTTTTCAGCCTGTAAAGAAACTTCCTGGATTAAAAACAAACCCCCAAAACACAAGCAAGCAAGCAGTTCCTTAAATACTTCCTAGGATGTCTGAGTTCTGCTCCTATGAGAGTGTCCTCATAGATGCCTGATATGTTCACCTCGTGGTCTCACCCCATTCCCTTCATCTTCCAACCCCAGACCCTCCACTCACTGCTGTGTTTGAACCAGGGCAAAGAAACACTCAGCACCTGGCTGGAGCTTCGGTTTGGCTTCCTGACCTTCAGAACTCAGTATGGTGCAGCAGAGACCAATTCTTCCTAGGACTGGATTCCAGCACCCTCCGTCTATCTCACGGCCACTCCTGTCCCACTATTGCATGGAGTGAGGCCATTTTCTCAACTGCTGAGGCCTCCAATCTCCTGGGGTCTGTGTTCAAAGGGCAAATAAGCCACACCTGGTTGGGACTGCTTGGTGAGACCTAGGTAGGGAGTGTGGGGCCACAGTCTTCTACACATCCTGTCCCAGTTCTCAAGAAAAAGAAAGAGAAAGAGAGAGGGAGAAAGAAAGAGAGAGAGAGAGAGAGAGAGAGAAGGAAGGAAGGAAGGAAGGAAGGAAGGAAGGAAGGAAGGAAGGAAGGAAGGAAGGAAGGAAGGAGAAAGGAAGGAAGGAGAAAGGAACAAAGGAAGAAGAAAGGAAGCAGAAAGGAAAGAAGGAAGAAGGAAGGAAGGAAGGAGAAAGGAAGGAAGGAACGAAGGAAGGGAGGAAGGAAGGAAGCAAATAAAGAAAGCAAGCCTTGATTTGTAGAGTTTGCTGATATCTATGAAATAAAAACTCCTACAATAGCCAATTGCAAGCTACCAGTGGATTTAACATTCCTGAGCTCCTGTGAGCTGTCATGGGCTGGCTCCAACACATTATTGCCCCCTCCCAAGTGCCCGCTCTTGGCTCTCAGATGTTCTTGATGCAGGGGAAGTTTTAATTTCGTCTCAGTCCCTGGCAGGTGTCTGATCAACAGTCTAGGAAAACCAAGTCCCAGACACTCCATCCCTCTCCAAGCTCCCAGGCTCCAGCCACAGGGGAAAGAAGCAAACAGTGTAAAGCCTTGATGTCTAAAAGGGTTTTTTTCTTCCAAGGAGTTCAAAGCAGGTACTGTGTCTGATCTTACCTTATCCTTCCAACACCCTGGGGAAGTGGGGAGACAGCAGGAATGATGTTGGTATCCCTTCCTGAAAGATGAGGACATAAGGCCCAGGAAGTGTAGACAGCTTGTCCAAGGCCACCAGCAGTTGGGAGCAAAGGCTGGAATGGGCAGATGGACTATGCCTTGAATTCTCAGCCCCACACCCCTTCCCGCACTT